AATGTATATTACCAACATGGCATTGAACGAAATCTGAAATCCTTGAATACAATCTCAGAAGAACTATCTGTGAACTATCTCTGATAGAGCAGTCCTCCTCTAATTTTGCGGTCCTCCCTCTCTTCTCCATCTGCATGCCAAAGACTCAAGACTAAAGACTCTATTGTCATGTGCACAACAATCACATTTAGCAGTTGCTGGCAATGAAATGCTTGTGTCAAAGGCTCCCTTCTAGCAATGCTCAACATATTACACAAGCAAAAACAATATATTAAAAAAATAATGATAAAATATACACCTAAAAATGAATGCAAATATTGTAAGGTGCAGAGTTAAGAGGAATGATGGCAGATTGGAGGAGTTTAGAAGTCTTATGGCCTGGGGGAAGAAACTGTCTCTGGGCCTGGTGGTGCCGGCCCGGATGTTGCGGTACACTCAGCCGGCAGTAGGCAAAACAGTTTATGGTTTGGGTGGTAGGGGTCTTTAATGATCTGGCTGGCCTTTTTCCTAGAGGTTTAGAGGTCCTCCATGAAAGGCAGCTCCATCCTGGTGATGTGCTGAGCAGACTTCACCACCCTCTGTAGAGCCTTATGGGTGGTGGAGCTGCCATACCAGGTGGTGATGCAGCCAGTCAGGATACTCTCAATGGTGCACCTATAAAAGTTGTAGAAAATCCTGGAGCCCATGACGTTGAGATGGAGGTTGTTGTCCTGGCACGAAGATGTCAGAGCTCTGACCACCTCTCTGTAGGCCGGTCGCCGGTGATCAGGCCTATGACGATGGTGTCATCAGCAAATTTAATGATGGTGTTGGAGCTGTGGGTGGCCACACAGACAAGCGTGAACAGGGAGTACAGGAGAGGACTGAGTATGCAGCCCAGGGGGGCGCCGGTGTTGAGAGTCAAGAGTGAAGGATGTGGTGCTGCCTATCTGCACAGCCTGGGGTCTGCACGTCAGGAAGTTCAGGATCCAATCACAGAGGGCGGTGTTGAGTCCAAGGTCTCTGAGCTTGGTGATGAGCTTCAGTAGCACGATGTTATTGAACACTGAAGTGTAGTCAATGAACCGCATTCTCACATGTGTCACTCAGGTCCAGGTGGGAGAGGGCATTGTGTAGGGTGAGATCAAAGTGTCCTTGAGCAAGATACTCAGCCCCAAATTGCCCCTAAGGACTGTGATGTTATAGAAAAAGTGCCTGTAGATGCATTGTTTTAAAAAAGCGCTTTGAGTCATTAGTCATCGACACTAGAAAAGCGCTATTTAAATACAGATGATCATACCAATTAGATTCAAGATGTTTATTGTCATCTTATTGGTATGATCATCTGTATTTAAATTAACTGTATATTGTATATTAAATTAACTAAACCGTCTAAATCCTTTGAGGGCCATTGGGCTAGAGGCAGGCCACACCCTGGACAGGTCACCAGTGTATCACAGGGCCAACATACAGAGATATACAACCATTCACTTTCACATTCACACCAATGTTCAATTTGGAGTCTCCAATCAACCTATCCCCAATCTGCATGTTTTTGACTGTGGGAGGAAAATAGACTATCTAGAGAAAAGACAGGCCAAACCAGGATCAATGGTTTTTCTATGCTTCTTTCCGCGAACAGTCACCCAATCACCCTGACTTCCCGGCTGCTCAGGAATCGCTGGGGGGACTGGGGGGGCTGAGGAAGCTAACGCTGAGGACAAGCTAACATTAGCCGCTAAAGGTTGTGCCTCAATGGTGTGGAGCCGTGCCTCTAGCTGCCTAAGCCTCACCTCCAATTTACTGAATAAACTACATTTAATACACATATCTTTACCACTGAAAGAGGCAGAGGAGTGGCTAATCATCAGACACACCGAGCAAGAGAGGGAGGGAAGAGTGGGAAGCCATGGCTGCCTCTAAAGCTAGGAGCTACGTTTGCTAACCGGCAAAGAAATTACGCTTCACCAATGTTTAGCGTGAGAGTGGCAGGCACGGAGCAGGAGATTAAGGTCGTGATTGTAGATAGATAGAGAGTCGATATGGAAAAGTTTCCAGAATAATAGAACTATAATAGGGAAGAGAGCAGTATTCAGAACAGCGACAGACACAACAGCAATAACAACAACTGGAAATGACTCAATATGCTCACCGTAGTAAGCCCGAAGCATCAAAAACATGCCTCCATGCTGATCGTGTAAATAATAACTTTAATTGACAAAAGCTTAATCGGGGCACCACCCTTCAAAGGAAGGGAAAAGATAACCAATTTATTGATTAAGTCTCATGAAATAACTGACTATAAATTTGGAAGTCTGATTAATAATTAAATTAATAACTATAACCAAAGTTACCAAATCAATAGCTAGCAAAGTTGAAGGATATGGAGTTCATGACAGTGTAGAGGTTGGCAAAATTCAACCTTATGCAACATTAATGAAGACTTATTTTAAAGAAAAACATTTATTATGAAAATTCAGTAAGGAGCACTATGATTTACCCATTTGTTGAAAATGGGGATGCAGTTATGATTGGCACTGAAGGCTTCATTCTTTGGATGTTCCCTGGATTAGCTGAGCAGCCTGCTAAGATAAAACAGGGAACATGTGCAGAACCCCTTGTTGGGCATAGCAGGCAACGTACATTTGTTTAAGAACCGTGTTTGGTGCTAAAAGGTGGAGGCTGGGGTGGTGGAGGCAAGTTGCCTGCAGCAGGCATGGGTGACAGTGTAGCTGAGTAGGGATCAGTGAGGATGAGGTCGTATTTAAAGGGACCGTTTTGGTGAGAGAATCGGCTGTGATTGGTGGGTGGCTAATGAGCACCCATAGACCTATCAGTAGCTAACAGCTGAGCACATGACTCGGTGTCCTGCATGAACTACTGCAATGCTTCATTAATAAAAGTATAAAACCACAAACTAACAAAAGGTGTACTTACTATATACAGATGTGCAGATGTGTATGCGTGTTTGTGTGTGTGTGCATGCGTGTGTGTGTGTGTGTGTGAGTGAGTGATTGAACGAGATTCAAAATGGCAGCTGGCCACTATGAAGGCAAAGGTCCCCCTGGAGTGGTGGGACCATGTGGCTGAGATCACATGTATGTGTTAAGTTTGTGGAGATGAGTGTGTGAGGTGTTGGTGCCAGCATATCACAACAACACAAGTCAAACATCACATGAAATAGAATTAACAGTAATTTGCTTAGCCTAGCCTAATAATAAAGCCCAGTTGTGTTACCCGTCCATGAAAAAATAAGGAAAGGTCTTTTTTGGATGTGCTGTCCAAAGTACAGTGAAGTGCATTGTTTGCTCCTGGTGCATCTGTTGGTCAGACTTTGTGTTGTGGCCAATTGTGCTGAGGTTCTTAGGCAGGCTCTCGCGTCACTGCCTTTGGAAGGTTTTAGCAGTCTGCTCCAGGCAGGCCTGCTTGAAGAAGCTTGGATATGGAGGAAGTCTTCCTGGCTGGGTGAGCAGGAGAGGTACCTACTCCTCTGGGAGCGGTCAGTAGAAAGAGAGAGAGGAGAGAGGAAACTCTGCTTTTATTGGCCTCGTGACCTCATGGGTCATGGGGAACACAGTGACCAATAGTGGTTGAGTGTTGTCTCCAGGAGCAGTTTAAACACCTATGTGAGAAGATGAAGCACCCTGGGAGACTGAGTTCTGGAAGCTCTCCTTTGTCTTCAGAGCAAAGGAGACATGTGGTCAGGCTTTTGGCTACACATGAAGGCCCAACTATGGTTCACAGATACCAGGTCCCAACAGTCTGCAGGGTCTGTTTTTCTTTTTGTGGAAAACAACTCTGTAGACTTGTTGTCCTGTGTATGTTGTAGCTTTCTTGCAGTCTGCATTTCCATTGTAATCCATGACCGCAAGATACAGCTTAAAATAACAGAATAGCAAAACACAAGACAAGACTTAAAGGAGAAGTTCGTTTTTTTTCAACCTGGTCCTTATTTCCAGCATTTGGTATGTAGGTCTACTCACCTATAAAGGTTTGGAGTAACTTGGATTCCTTCGGACGCTTTTAGATCCACACGCGATCAGCGTATATCCATTCAACGCAAGGGACTGGGGCATCCACAAAACAGCCTCTAAATAACGCATTATCTGCCGCAAAACTCTTTTTTTACTATGAATCGCCAGCACTAGTCCCCTGTGAGTCCAAGTTGCTTTGTTTACATCCCGGGCTTTCACTGGGGTGACGTCACCGAGGCGCGCAGCTGACGATCAGCTGTGTTTGTTTACATGGAGTTTGCTGCTGCTAGTTTTGCGCAACATGGCAGAATACTTATCAGGTGCTTTACAGTACAGTATTTTTTTAAATCAGCTGTGTCCTGGTGCTCGGGCATATTCACCCGGTTTGTTGATTAAACAGGAAGACAACTCGCTCTTGGTTCGCTAAGCTAACTCGAGCTCCAAGGCTGCTCATTAGCCCGCTGAAGTAAGCTAGCCTTTAACCGGGTGAGTTTAATGGTCGTAGTTTAGCTTCTCTAGCTTGAGGACTCTCTTCACTATTCACAACCATTTACACAGGATGTTCTCCACTCTAACATTAACAAAAATATTTTGTTGAAAAGGAGCCCATACATCAATTACTTGGCACCATACCAAAATATACATGAAGTGATATTAGGGATTTATGTTCATCTAAGTTACTGTGAAAAACAATTGTCTGTTCTAGCCTTATATTACAGTCAAACGTCTATATACATATTTTGTCACAACCATATCGAATTTCCATATTGGAAATCGATTTTTCTTATTTCCGATGTTTGCTCAGTTTCATGCGTTCTAATGCATGTTTAGCCTCCCAAAAATGCAAGCAACTGTAAAAAATGCACATCAACGTTCGCTGGGTTGCCATGGCAACATCATTCAATGAAAATAGAGAGCATTCACATTCTTTGGACCAAATTTCAGCTGAATCTGGTCTTATGAAGTTTGGTGCAGATTGGACAATATAAAGTGAAGTTACAAGAACCTGTATTAAGTCTTAAAAACTTTGAAATCACGCCACCGACACGCTATTCAAGGAAACCTCATGAATTGAACTACTTTTCATCTTAAAGGTGATTAGATTACACTGACCTAAAAGGATGCTGATTCCATTAATCCTCTAGGCCGACTTTTGGCAAAGAGAATGAGATCTTCCTTACAGAAAAAAAGAGTTTTGGCAAATTAAAATTGGTGGCAGCATTCAGAAACAGTGAAGAAAAGGTAAGAACAGTTCTTCATGGCAAATGGGCTGACTTATGGTTATGAAAAGTCAAAAGCTGTGTTCCTAACTGTTGTGGGCAGAAAGAACCACACCCCGCTGATGGACATGTGTGCTCTATTGAGGCCGTCCGAGAAACAGTTGTCGGACCTAATTGAGTTAATGTGCACACACTTTGTGCTGAAGACAAATTTCATAGCAGTTTAACATGAGGAACCAGAGAGAAGATGACTCCATAAATGGCATATAATGGCATATCATATATGGCTCGTTTAAGTAAGCTATCATCCACTTGTACCTGGATGCTACAGACCAAGTGGATGACAGCAACCGGGGTAAAGTCCAGAGAAAGCCGGTAGGAGAGAAAAGCACTCCTGATGGGGTGCAGAACAATTTTGTGTCACAGCAGATAGAGCCAACCACCCTGCTGGTCAAAACAGAGCCACAAAAAGTTTGAACAACGAAAACTGCCCTGCCCTGTACTCATTGTCAATGAGTACAGGGCAGGTAACGTTAGAGATGTTGAAAAGTTTTCATTAAAGACTATAGCTGAAGGCACTGTTTCAGAAACTGATACAGACATTGAAAAACCCTAATATGTGTATGTAAGGATAAATGAGAAGCAGTTAAAAATTGAAGTAGACACAGCAGCTGCTGTGTCTGTGATATAAAAAAAAAGTACAAATGAAGGTTGAAGAAGGTGAAACTAATGCCTATACATTGTGTGCTGAGAAACTAAAGAAAACTGACAACTAGACTGAGAGGGAGCATTTCTGTGATAGTGAAGTGTAATGGACATGCTTGCACACTTAACTTGCTTGTGGTCAAAGTATGGAGTTTTTTTTCCTATCTTTAATCAAGAGCATGGTCTTTCAGTTCAAGCGCATGCCTTGTTGAATTTATGTTCAGATTGTGTATTACTTTTCATAAAAACCCTGCCCTTGCATTAACATAGCCCCTGTTTGCACTCAAATTTGCTCTGCTTCTGCTCAAAGTGTGTGCTTGCACTCAGATATATTGTTGCTCGCATGGATTTCCTGCGCTCCAGCTTCTGCCCTTCTCTGTCCTTGGTCAACCAATAAAATGAATGATATGATCCCTGCCTCATTGTTGTGTGTTAGATTTACTTCAGAGAGTCCTGTGTGGGTGGTAACTGGGTTCACCCACTCCCGCCCTACATAGCTTTATTATATGAACTTCCCCGTCCTTTTATTCCCAAAAGCCATAGAGAATGCAAGTAAAGCAAGGTCAACGGTCAATGGCCAATGGTGGTGACCAGTGGTCAACACGACATCTGGCATTCAATTGGTTAGGGAATATTTTACAGGGTTGTAACTGTGAAGTTATTCAACATTTGGTGTAATGTAATAGCGACCTCTTGCGGTAGCAAACCCCCCTGTAGGTTAATTGGGGCGGATGTATTAACCTGCCGGATCTTCTTTATATGGATGCTATTGTTTTAACTGGTGAAGCTGAGCTGGTGAGTTAAGAGATGCATACAATTTGCTTATAACTTGTTGAATGCTATAAATATGTTCATGTATGCACATTATACAATGGATAATATGTCCGTGTTATTAATAGTGTGGTTTTGTGTTCATTTTATGTCATTTCAGTTGATTACCTGGCGAACGGCACGGTTACTGTTCATGTGCTAGTTAGCCTAGCATGTGTAAATAGGAATGCTTATGGAAAATAAACACTTGAAAGACAGTAAGCGGATGTCCGAGCTTGAGTGAGACACTGTTTCATCAGTTAAGAACACCCTTTACGGTGGGAGTTATTAGGTTAATGTAGTTAGCTTAATAAAACCGTACAGTAACACAACAGCTCTTATCACCGCAATCTTTGTTGGTGTCTTCTATCTGTATGACACCGCTTTTTCAGTCCATGTCTGAAAACAGCTATGTACCTATGGGCGGTTGTGGCTGAGGGGTAGAGCGGTCATCCTCCAACCAGAAAGTTGGCAGTTCAATACCCAGTCTTCTCCATCTGCATGCCAAAGTGTCCTTGAGCAAGATGCTCCCCAAATTGCCCCTCATAGAACAAAAAAGTGCTGCTAATAGATGCACTGTGTGAATGGGTGAATTGCAAACTGTACTGTAAAGCACTTTTAGTGGTCATCCAGTCTTGAAAAATCTATGTAAATACTAACCGTTTCACTTACTTCCACACACAGGGACCTCTGAATCCTTCAGAATAGACATTAGTTTACCATTCAGTGGTGTAATGTCCTTTTCTTAACTTTTCTATCAACAGAAAGAAATGCGTACATGTCCTTATAGACCCAGATCTTTATTGTAAATGAGAGCTGCCCTTTCCACTGCTTGTCCAGATCTTTCATTCCTAGAGTCTGTAAATGTATAAAAACATTTATGTCATCTGGGTAAACCTGGCTATTTTCTGTTTCCTGAATTCACTTTACCGAGATATAAGTTTTCTGAGGGACACTGATCTAATTTTAGCGTTTCAAATGCATTTTTGTGTTTGTGTTTCAGATCTGAAGCCAGCAAGGCCCAGAAGACAGTGGTGTTTTAATGTGGTTGTTGTTTACCTGATCTTGCAGACTGCCCTCAATGCCTTTCTCCTTTATAAAGGTACAACTGCATACACATAATATTCATTAGGCTATACTTCTATTCCAGTTCCTGTAGTGGACTTTTTATACAGTGTACACTTACACTATTTGTATGCTCTATACAGGTGAACTGAATGTTACTGACAACACCTGCCTCTTATTTGTTCTCTCTCTGTCCCAGTTTTCACATTGGAGTCTTCACTGTCTAGCCCAAGTATGGAGAAGCTGACAGACAATCACATTCCTCTGGATGGGGATCAGCATGAAGACTTCCATACTCTCATCCACAACAACAGTCAAGACACCAAGACCCTAAGAGGCCACTTATGGGCCCTGCAAAACCAGGTCCTGTGAGCATAAAATGCTGAATAAAGAATAATGTTAGGTTTGTCATCTGCTTGTTCAAATGGTAAGTCAGCCTGTGTGCTTTTATTGAACAGTGGCCAGTGTTGCTTCAATTGAAATTCACCAGATAAGTAAATGCACAAGTAAAAAATAAGGACCTAAGGCAGTCCCTCCAGAAAATGGCGATCTTGTGATCGCGATAATTGATACAAATTCAACAAAACTCTGCGATAAACGCAATTCCGACTGACCAGACGTCATCACATAATGGCTTTAAAGAATGGAGAACCACGCTCATTTGCTTATAAAAATAACTGCAAAAGACCATGCTAAACAGTTTTGTGCAAAATTGTGGTGGAACACAAACGTAAATCGTCTCTGGACAGCCAGTTGTCCACCGCAAGCATCTCAAAATGGACATCGACAAATCACCATCACCGAAGTGACAACATCAAAAACGATAGCAAGTGCTGAAAGAATTGAGGTAAGTTGCCTATTATATTGAAGATAGAAATTATGAAATAATTAATTAATTAATTAAATAAACTGGAGAAAGAGACAGAAGTGTGTGTAAACTAGACTTTGCACTGCTTCTCAAGGAGCTAAAAGTGCATCTTTACTCTGTGGTTGCTGTAACATAACGCGAAGGGGGGATACTGCCAAGGAAGCTAGGGACAGATCCTCCTATGCTGCAATGCTAAATACCAAGGCATCTTTTAACTTAGCTTTTTGCTGTGCCCTGACATTTTCTGACATTTGTTCGATTCAACAATTCTATCTGAAATGGGAATATCTTACGAAAGACAAAGCCATAGTCTTCGGCTGGAATGACCGAACCTTTACCTTTTCGTTTTTTTAGCTTGGGGGTTACCATTATCAATGCACCTGAACTGCTGCACTGTGATTCATGTGGGAAAATAAGAGGAGGGAGGCTTCTTCTTATTTAAGGGCAGTTGTTATCCAGCATTATCAACATTATATCATGCTAAGAATGAAGCCATGTCTATGTTTTTCCTTTGTCTTCAGAGACTTATTGAAGAGATGAGTCTTGAGGAGCATAGGGAGTTGACCGCCGCAGGCATGCTGACCCACCTTTCACTGAAGTGCCAGGGTTACAACAGTGTACTTGTGGTAACTGTAGGAACAGACAGACTGGGAGAGGATATGTTGTGGTCAGGATCCTGAGTGTACAACTGCACTCCCCCAGTAGAGCTCTGAAGTTGTTGTTTTTTTTACATATTCAGAGGCAGTACTGGTCATGTTACAGTATAAGGCCATGTTTGAAATGCTAATAAAGCATATTAGCATTTTATTAATTGGCAACATGGCTTTTTAGGCCAGGGAAACTGTCTTATTTGGATCAGAGATGAGTTCACTGTTCCACAGGCTTCTTACCTGGCCTCTGAGTTTCATTCCAGGCACTCTGGAATCTTCTTATAATAACATAACTATTCACGCCTCCATGTGCAACACCAAGCCATCAAACATATGTGTATTAAAATGGAGTTGTTTACACTGGAATGAAAAGTGCAACAATAAAAAATAAATTCAACAAATCAGATGTTTTTATTTTGTATATCCACATTACATACACTGAAATACTTATTTACACCTACATTAGTGTGACTGAGAGGCACCATGATTCAGCTTTGCTTTTCAAGGATGCAAGGTAACCTCCCATCTGGATCAGTCCACATAAACAGTTGCATGTGTGGTAAGGAGGGGAGTCGTTTTAAATTAATTAAGGGGAGAGGTCGAATTAACTAAGGAGGTAACAATAACTTAGGGACCAACAACGCCACCTGGGGCCTTGCAACCCCAGGATATAATGTAAATCAAAAAAATAGTTTAATGAAAAGAAACCTAAAGGGACACAGGTTCATGACTGAGGAGGCAGAGACAGCAAATTATATAATACAACTATATTTATTGATTATAAGAAATCAGGACTGGACCTAAAAGAGAAGAAAAGAACTGAAGCTGGTGGAGACAAAAAAACAAAGTTCAGACAAATATAAGGTGAGTAAACGACAATACGTTTGACAGAACACAATATCTAAAATGTAAGCCGGCTAAAGCAATACTAAAAGCTCTAATGACTATAACAGAAAACTAAAATCAGTGGGCTGGGGCCTCAGTGGGAGGCAGACTACTGGAAAAGTGCCTCACCTCAAGCCTGGGGTGCAACACTACAGAAAAATCACAGCAAAACATGCATTAAAAGTGCCCCAGTGCCTACTTGCATGCAACAGGAGTGAAGTCCTCACCAGGGTGCCTAGCCCCCCCACCTGATGACACCCAGTCCGCACTGAAAATCAAAGAAAGAAACAAAGAAACTTCCTGAAACAAAGAGAACAAAAAGATAACAAAACCAACAACTCAATTGATGATTAAACAAAATCCCAAAACATACAGACTCGAAGCAAACAGTCAAACAGAAACGTACCTAAACTAAGCAACCTTAATAAATCTGGATCAACGAACAAATCAAAACTACAGAAAGGAGCAAAACAAACAAACAAATGCAAACCTAACAAAAGCAGAACAGAACAACAGGTAACTACCACCAGGGACCAGCAAAGAGAGAGAACTGAGCCAGCTGAGGCCTTTTATACTGAACCTGGGCAGGGGGAGGGGCTTAGGGAGGAGTGCTGGACTACCTGGGCTGCGTTCACAATGCTTCACTACAATCGAATAGTGGTCCTGCTGAAAACAGTTGCATTACTCATCAATATAAATATCATACATTTTTATCGAGTTTTGCAAAAACAATGCTGGTAAGAGTATGAATTTGTATGACTATTTATATGCCACAAAAACAAATTTGCTTCATTAATTCTGATGTGGATGGTGCATGTATGGGGAGTACCAAATCAAGCCCTCTCGGGTCAATTGGACGAAGACTCTTCCTTTGAGGCAACTCAACGTTGCTTGTGATTCTGTGTTTCAGAAAACAGAAAACTCTTAGATGTATGTGTAGATTTAGAATGTGTGTAGAATGTGTGTTAATGGGTCAGCGGCAATAAGCTGTATTGGAAAGCACCTTGAGTGGTCATCAAGACTAGAAAAGGGCTATATACAGACCTTTTACCTGACCATCTGCTGTATAATCTGGCATTCTTTTTGTATAGCCTTCTGAAGCTAAGATTTTCAACAATAAAATATTTTATATATATTTGAACTACTTTGATCAGTGATTGTGCATGCAAATAATCCTTTGCACACTGAAAATGTGTGAGAATTTCCTTTTGCTATTTTCCTTCTTCGTATGTTCTGGTGGAAGTCAGAGTCAAGAGCAGCCAGCAGCACTCCTGCCTCATAAACCAGGGAACTGAAATTGAAGTGCTGGCTCAAATACAATTTTCAACTTTGTGAAAAATGTTGCGACACTTTTACCTAAGTGGGTTGATCATGTCTTTATTTGAAAATCTGAGAAAACGTTGATATAAACAAAATAAGTAAACAAGAATCAACATAACAAATGCAGAAGAAAGACTATCCAATTGCACACTTTATAGAAATCAGAGATGTCATCCCTCTCTCTGGCATGTTTTGGTGAGTGTGAGTCAATTCTGTAATGAACGACATATTCAGAAAATAATACTTTGAAAGAAAAGAGAAAAGGCTAAGTGCTGAAACATTTCATCTGTACTACTTACAGACTGTTATATACCATCCAATATTTCCCCTCATCATTGAACCAAAGGACTGGTCAGTAGTAATTTTAATTATAATTTTATTTTGTCATTACAGACGTGCACACACACACACAAACTGTCCTTCTTCCCAGCCGTCCTCTGGTCGTCTTTCGAACAGTCTCTCAGAGTCCTGCCCAGGCCCCAGCAAGCTACTGCTGATACAAGGGAGAGAGTGATTAGCGATCACAGCACACCTGTAAACAATCAGACTCCCCTCCTTGGCACAAACCACCCCATTACCACAAAGAAACTCAGGAGAGAACAAAGAAAAATTTTGTTTCAAGAAAACATAAAAACCAACATATCTAGGGGTGTAACGATTCGTTTTAACAACGATTCAATTCGAATTACAATTTGTGGTTGCTAATATGATTCAAGGGCGATATCGGTTCATTTAGAACGATACGATCCGAAACAATTCAGTGACTTGAAATCGATTCAGTAACTTTTTAGCCAAAAATTCAACCAGTGTGACTGAAATAAATACCTGGACACCGGACAGTGCAGGTGAAGTTTCCTAGATTCTTGTAAGGGAATCAGGTATAAATTATGGATATAAAGAACAAGTAAACAACAATTAATGGCAAATGCATTCACATTTTATTTGAATAAAGTGCAACCAACACTTTAGGTTGAATTAACAGGAAATGTACCTTTTCTGCTTTCATTTTCAATATTCAATACATTTTCAATAAAAATACTTTACTTGACCTTTACATATCCTTCAAACAGCCAGCGACTTATTTAAAACATCTCCGTCTTTGCAAAAGCCAAAGTGTTTCCACGCACTGGACCGCAATGGTGGCTTGATAATTTCTCGCTCACCGGCTTCTCCTCTGCCATCCGCCATCATGCTATGTTTTGATATTTGCGCTGCTGCTGGCGCGTGGTGATGACGTCACAGACAGGCAGACTGAATCGAGTAACGTTTAACGCCTTTATCATTAAAAGTGCTAAAAAAAAAACACATCCATATAAAGTCTGACGTGCTTAAATCCAATGCGTTATTTCCTAGTATCGATACAATCGATTGATTACCTTTTAAAACGATGTTAGATCGATATATGTCGTCCGGAAGGCCAACTTGCCGAGCACAGAACGATGTAGTTGGATCGTAGGAATATAAATCGATACATCAATGTAGTAGATGAATCGTTGCACCCCTAAACATTACATATTTTTAAATGCAATAACTTACCTGTCCGTTCCACGGGAAACTGCAATCCAGATACAAAGTTAGGTCTGAAGAAGGTGTTGCTTTTATTGGAGTTGATGTCCAATTCAATTCAAATTTATTTGTGTAGCGCCAAATCATAATATACATTATCTCAAGGCACTATACATAGAAGGTCAAGACCATAAAATCTTATTAAATACAGAGAAACCCAACAGTTCCCACAATGAGCAGCACTTTGGCGACTGTGAAGAGGAAAAAAACCCTCATTAACAGGAAGAAACCTCTAGAACTAAACTCAATGTGGGCGGTCATCTGCCTGGACCTGTTGGGGTGAGTAGAGAAAAATGGGGAGGAGAGGAGAGATTGGTGGAAAAGAGGGGAGAGAAGAGGCAAAGATAGTGGGGAGGGGGAGAGATAGGAGAGAGACCAGGAACACTTGTGCTCCATCAGGTATCAGATCTGACTAGTTAGAATTATAAACACTCAAAGTGTAAATAAGTTATTGATTTTTATTGATAACAGCAACAATTCATATAATAATTAATTAATTATTAGTATTGTTGTTAGTATTAATATTAATAATAGTTGCCCAGCAGTTCTGGACTCAGAGATATCTGCAATGAGAGAGAGAACGAGAGAGAGGGACTATGGGAGAAAAAAGAAACATAGTTATTGACATGTATTGAAATAAATAAATGAGTGTGAGGGGGCAGAGAGAAGTGGAGAAGTGCTCAGTGAATGATGGGACTTCCCCCAGCAGTCTAGACCTATAGCATCATAACTAAGGGATGGTTCAGGACTCACCTGATCCAGAACTAACTATAGGCTTTATCATAAAGCAACGTTTTAAGTTTAACCTTAAATGCAGAGATGGTGTCTTCCTCCAGAACCCAGAGTGGGAATTGGTTCCACAGCAGGATGTGGGTTGAGGGGTAGAGCGGTCATCCTCCAACCAGAAGGTCGGTAGTTCGATCTCCTGTCTTCCCATCTGCATGCCAAAGTGTCCTTGGGCAAAATGCTGAACCACAAATTGCCCCATGTGTCACGGTTATGGTATTATTTTGTCATGGTTACGGAGTTTTTTGTCATTGATATTGTATTCTGTCACGGTAGGGTGTTTTCTGTCACTGGTATTGTTTTCTGTCATGGTTATCATATTTTGTCCTCTTTTAGAAAGAGTTTTTTCAGTTTTAGTTTAAATTGCATTTTTGTTACATTTGGAATTAATGTTTTAAGTTTGCTCTATGTCCCCTCTGTGTCCCTCGCTCATGTTCCCTTCTGCTCTCCTCTGTGCTCCATCCTGTGTTGTTCTCTGTGTCCCTCTCCTGTGTTCCCCTCCTTGTCCCTCACTATGTTTCACCCTGTGCCTCTCCCGTGTTCATCCCTGTCTTGGTTATTGTATTTTGTTCTAGTTATTAAGTTTGTTCAGTGTTTCCTGTTTTATTTTATAGTCCCTGCTCCCTGTGTGTTTTCCCCCTTTGACTTCCTGCCCTCATCAGGTTCACCTGTTTGTCTTGTGCCACCTGTCCCCAGTTACTCATTAGTTCAAGTGTGTATTTAAGTCTTTGTGTTCCCCCCATGTGATTGTTGGTACGTCGTCTATTCTAGTCATGTTCATGTGTCCCGTCACCTCTCGTCACGTTTTCCCGTAAGTAGTTTCCTGTCCTTACTTGTTCCACTCCTGTTTTTTGAGTGTGACTTTTGTTTAGTGAAGAATTCTTTTGTTACTTTTACCTTTTTAAATAAAAGACACTTTATGTTAAACAGTATTTAGTTTCTGCGTTTTGGTCCTTCCCTTCCCTTTTACCTACCACGTTCGTTCCCTCCCCACACCCATAATCCTGACACCATGGAACAACAAAAAGTGCTAGTAATAGATGCACTGTATGTATGAATGTGTGTGTGAATGGGTGAATGGCAAACTGTAGTGTAAAGCGCTTTGAGTGGTCATCAAGACTAGAAAAGCATTATATATATACAACCATTTACCATGTACAGTGTGTAGGGACGTTTGCATGCACAGACAAACAAAATAAATAAAAATACTATGATATTGGGAATTAATTGATAATAATAGAGATAATCCACCCAAGTATCTGTTACAATGTAAATATTACTATACATCTTTGTTTAAGATAAAGCAATAAATAAATCAAAATGTATTTGTATAACCCATATTCACAAATCAGAATTTGGCTCATAGGACTTAACAATGTGTGACCTCCTCTGCCCTTAACCCTCAACAAGAGTATGAAAAACTACCCAAAAAAAACCTTTTAAAAGAACAGAATAGAAGGAGAAACCTCAGAGAGAGCCACATGTGAGGGATCCCTCTCCCGAGACGGACAGAAGTGCAATAGATGCCACGTGTAATGGAGAACACAAGTATTTACAAAAATCATTACAGTAAACAGTTTGTAAGATAACTGAAGGTAAATGAATTGAGGAGTTTTTGTCAGTAATAGAAAAAAAATAGNCATAGGACTTAACAATGTGTGACCTCCTCTGCCCTTAACCCTCAACAAGAGTATGAAAAACTACCCAAAAAAAACCTTTTAAAGGAAACGTATAGAAAGAGAGAGCCAGATGTGAGGGATCTCTCTCCCAGGATGGACAGAAGTGCAATAGATGTCATGTGTAACAGAGAACATAAACAAAATACAAGTATTTACAAAAATCATTACAGTAAACAGTTTGTAAGATAACTGAAGGTAAATGAATTGAGGAGTTTTTGTCAGTAATAGAAAAAAAATAGAGTACCAGAAGGTCTGTGGGTCAAATCCCAGCCCATACTGAAGTGTCCTTGGGCAAGATGCTGAACCCCCTAATGGCACCTCAAAGATGTTGAATGCACTAATTGGACGTCGCTTTGGAGAAGAGCATCAGCTAAATGTAATGTAGAGTACCTGAGTAGGCATATTGTATATGAAACAGTCTTGTTGAAAATAGTAATCTTCAATCATCATGATCCACTGCCACCATCAGGATCTAACATCTGCTGCCACCTCAATCATGGATTTAAATATGAGAATTGTATCCCAGTTTTGCAAAAAGATCTTAAATAAACTTTGACGCTTTACGTTGTATAAATAATTAACTCTCTGTTATTCCCAGGATAAGGGGGTCTATTCCCTGAACCCCCATGATAGTTGCCCCTGTTTATAATTCATTTTCATTAATTTATTGTGGTTATAGCAATGATTTAGCATTTAGGTCATATTTCTGTTGTTGCTTTGACAACAGTTGAACAGTCTGTGTGGAGAAGATGGTCAGCTGGACATGCTAAGGGCTGACCTGAGTCTGCTCAACATAAGCACCCGCAACTTGGAAGGCAAAATGACAACCATCAGTCTCAAACCAGGTATGTCAGTGTATAATTGAAGTCATCGCAATGTCATCAATAATAACTATGCTGCTCATAAATAACACAAATAGAATATTTTCTAGTTGGTGCCCTCTTTGATTTTTGACGAAAGGATTGGTTACAAATATGAAATTCTTTCATGGTTTTATCAACCCTAACAATATATCTGTGTGTTATCCTCAGGGCCTCCAGGTTCTCCAGGGACAGATGGACTGCCAGGACATCCAGGGGCACCTGGAGAGAGGGGCCTCAAAGGTGAGTCTACCTTATGGAACTCCATAACAATGGTAAAGGCTGGAGTTAAAATTAATTAAAAAAATTAGATGGTGGTTGTGCCTTGTGCTGTTATCACTTGTAGCTGGGAGAACACAATTAAAAGGAACACTAACTCTAAATCTAGATCTAAAAATGACACCAAACTAAAAGTTTCTCTTTGTACAAACTTACAACTGATTTTGTTTTCCAAAACCACCTTTGGTAGTATGTCCCATCGGGACTTGGGTTCCAGTCTGTATCTTTTACCCTGCTACTATGTGCTGGACTGTTTCAGGGGCATCATTGCATAGTGTGCACTCTGGAGTTTTTAATTTTGATGATTTAATTATTTTTATTTCATCATATTGAACTAACAGAGACATTCACTGGTGTGGGTGCTATACTCCATCATTCTCCTTAACAAGTTGACTTTGAAGTAAAAACACGTTTGTTTGTTGCTGGTATGCTTTATATCAAGGTAAATGAAAGAGCTTTTTTGAAAAGTTGAGAACTTTGGTCTGAGGATTGTATCAGTTGCTTAACAGACCTCTTAAATTGATGACATTGAATAGATGAAAAAATAACCCAGTTTGGTATATCATTCAAACGTATATATTTAAGCCGCACACAAGAGTTATGAAGCAAACAGTTTACTTTCATTTAATTGACTGTAAAATCTTCGCTGCAGAAAAAACAGGTAGGATGAACACAAAGTTTTCTTACTTCCCTTGTCTGCACCATATACACGCAATGCCCAGCACACAAACAATATAAAAGTAACAGTATATTGTAACTAATGGCTTGAGTGCACATCAAAGAAGCAGTTATTCTCAAAATTATAATACACATTTGTCTATTATTCACATATCGGGAAAGGTGAGATAACACAGATATTTTTAATAGCTTTTCATCTGACTATTATTCTAGACATCTCTGTCTGTCTGTCTGTCTGTCTGTCTGTCTTTTTGGCAGGTGTAGAAGGGACACTGCTTTAGTACAGGAATAATTTGCTGAACTCACTTGATTCAATTATTTCTTTTAATGTCTACAAGACCTCTTTGCTTGTTGACCTTGTTTTTGATTATACTTACCTTCTGTTTTAGCTTAAAGTAAAGTTAGTTTGTTCACCTGGTTTATTTTTTATTTTGGCTTTATTTATTTATTTCTGATTACAGTTGAACTGATGCAGTTGATATAGTTTCATATTGTGGGGGACCCCTAGTGTGTATGTACTGTTGATGTTATTGTGTTGATTGTCCTGTGCCACTGATTGTTTAATTAATTCTAATTATTATTCATGTATTTGTGTAATTATTTGTGAATGTGTTATTTTGTATGCTTGCTAAATTCCATGTTTTGTGTTTGAGGACCCACTAGATTTACAGCAACCTGTGATTGAAATATATATATTATTCACATGCGTCCTCAAATCAACTTACTAAGACTGTGGACTTGTATGCAGGCTGACTTCTTACTGATATAGAGCATACATTAATCCTGTCTGTGTGCATTAGTCTTCATACTTTACTGATAGCACTGAGAAGCGGAAGCTGGAGTCCATCAATAACTTACATTACTGAATGATTCTGTCCAGGTGACATTGGTGTTGCTGGCCCTCCAGGACCAAAAGGTGACAGCGGACCTAATGGACAACCTGGAAAGCCAGGAGTCGCTGGGAAAACTGGTGGGTGTCATGAGGACTACTTGTGTAATAATGTGTGTTTGTTATTCTTAAAGCTGTACAAAGTATGACTCACAAAAAAATCACAAAATTTCCCACCAATCAAAATGCTGATGGTTGAACTTTTAAAATCTGGAAAAAGCTGGACTCACTGATGTAGGAACTCTATAAATCTCTTTTCTACTTTGGGAAAAGAATAGCAGCTTTGTTTATTGTATTGAAAGTTATCTCTCAGCTTCAACTCAAAATCACTTCACTGTTTCAGGGCCACCTGGACTCACTGGACATCCTGGACCCACTGGTAAGCTTCCCCTTCTATTAACCTATCATGTTATCAGAAACAATAATTAGCCAGGATACAGCATAGCTCTTGGGAAGTGTCAGTTTGTTGGGCAGATACACAGATATCAAAAACTATTGGAGGGATGCCATAAATTTTGTATAGACACTGATGGTCCCACGTGGCTCAGTTCAGCTTGATGATTGGATATTCTTTGTTAAGTTTATCAAAAATAATCAGTCATCTACAGTCAATAGATTATTAAGTTATTTGATTGAGAAGTTACAATCTTTTTAAGCTTCATCAAAAATTGTGTCATCTGTTCATTTTTTCAGGAATGGCATTTCAGAGAATTACAGAAAATATTTCTGCAATTAGGTTTTCAAATACAGACTACAGTCCAATTTACTCAGTCAATTGAAAGCTGATAAGTAAATTAGTAGATTCCTCTCATAATTTTTATTTAGCGAAGGCTTTCTGAGTGTAAAGTGTTGATGCACTCCTTCAAGTGTGTCAATCTTACAGCACAGCTGCTTTCATAAATCCATTGTTTTGTTCATGTAAGATTTATTAAAAGCATAGTAAGTACAGGTGTTAATGTACCTAAATGCATCCTCAATGTGGCTTGAGATCTAACTACTCAGACCACATTCGGAAGTAGTCTGGAATGCACATTCCTTACGCTGTGTGAACACAAATGCATCATATACACATAACAACCAACACATTGACATACTCAGAATGAACAGACAAACTTGAAGCTGCTGTCTACTTGTAATCAGATTTCTCAGGATTAATGTTAATACCAGTCCTGAACTGGTTCTATGACTTGCTTATAGACACACAGTAATACCAAATGATCTTTACTTTGAGAAGACCATGACCTTCCCTGGTTTCACATCATGTTGCAAGTTCATTGAAAGTGGAACATAAAGCAATATAACTCTTCCTAGATGGAAAAAAGTGGATCAGCAGATTGTAGTTGTGAAATAGTTCAGTGTCTCTTCCTCATTTTTTTCATGATGCACATCAGTAATATTATACTGCATAGACACTGCTATTTCATGTAAAAACATATCATTTGGACAGCTTGTATTGTTCATAATCGTGTGTGTGTGTGTGTGTGTGTGTGTGTGTGTGTGTGTGTGTGTGTGTGTGTGTGTGTGTGTGTGTGTGTGTGTGTGTGTGTGTGTGAAAACCTGGGCTCCAAGGGGCCCCAGGAAATCCAGGTGCAAAGGGACTAAAGGG